CGTCCTGCTTTCTCTGTAAGGTATGTCCGACGGACTGATCGTAGATCGGATCTGTTGCAGTGCAAAGTGCTTAATCAGGTTGTTTTGATTGTAGACTGTTTTCAGGGGATTACCACCTGCTCTCCAGGGGCGATAATTGATGCGAGCGTGATCCAGTGGAAGTTGGCGTCCATTGCACATGTTGTGCTAGGGTGACGTGCAGCCAAGGTAACCTGTAGTGTTGTTGGTTTTAACTGTTTGGATGTTTTGGTGCCATTTATTAACAGTGGCTTTACTTGTTGCAGGGGTGATAGCCACTGCTGCTTTGCTTATGTAATGTTTTGCCTTGCTTTGTTGTTCTTTGTTCTGTTTTTATGTTAAGAGGTTTACCTAGCAACGTGTTCCCTATTTATTGTATTGTTCATAAGTAGGGTTTAGTCAATTTTATGCTGTGTGAACAGTGCGTGAATGGCTGTATGTACAGGGAGGCAAGGCCCTCTTATATTTGGTTTGTTGATGTGTGATTAATTGATTCGTGGTGTTCATCTAAACGGTGCCCTTTTCAACCTGTTGACTGACCATTGTATTCCTGTTCTGCACTGTATTTATTGAGTAGGGGAGAAACTTCTTCTCATAGGTAGTATTTTAGTTTTTGGGGCCAGGCCTTTGTAAATATTTTCACTGTTAAGTTGTACACTGTCTCAAATAAATTTTTATCTGTGAGTAACCCCAACATCTCTGCGTTTGCAGATTTATTTGGGGGGTAGCAACTCAGTACTGGTGAAGTTTGCATGAATTTGACCTCTGAAAACAGGAGGGGTGTTATTCTTGGGGAACTACTAAAACTTATTAGGGTCTGGGTTGCATAGGCCTGTATATTGGCCCAGTCACAGAGCCAAGCATAAAAAGGGGTCCAGGGATGACACGCGTGTCTCGGAGTCAGTGTGGACAGACACATTTGACAGACTGACCCAGGCCCGGATTGGCTAATCGTGAGATTCTGGACTTTTCCAGAGGGGCCGCCTGGTTTTTCGGCCGGTGGCCCGTTGACGGTGTTGTCATGCCACTGGGTTGTTTGAAATACAGATGCTGCTCTAGGCTGCCTGTACTCACAGCAGTCCGCTTCTTTTTATTTATTATTATTTTATGCAGCCTTTTCTCACAGCCCCGCTCTTTTTTTATTTAATATTTTCTCGCAGGCAGCATCACTGGCACCCTGGCAGAGTGTAGCACGTGGCCGCAGCCTGTTGAGTTGATGACGGTGACGCAATTATCTTTTGGCCCAACGACAGGCGACAGCGACAAAGTTATGAGTCAAAAATGGATAGAAAGCGCAAAGGCGGTGCTGAAAAGGCTCGAATAAAAAAGAAAACAGCTCTAGAGGCTGACGCGGCCAAATGAACAAAATTGAGTACATTTTTCGTGAAAATTAATGAAGACGATAAGACGGCTGGTAAGTTCACGTTATACTAATGCAAAACAACGTTGTATACAAACCACGTCCATGCTTATGCATCAAACTTTTCTTGTACTGTCACTGTTCAGCAGACAGCAGCCCCTATAGTTCAGTTTGCCGTTAATGTTAAAGGTGAAGAGGCTGGTCCAGTAACGTTGCCAAGGACCATGCAGTCATGAGCCCAACACAACAGAATTAGAAGAATTATTAATGAAGAACATGGTGGTGCACACCTCACTGATCAATAAAACCAGTGGCATCGTAAAGACACTAATGCCCTCACTGTGGACGACACAGGTAAGCTTTTGTACCACAGTGTGTGAATAAGCAAACATATTAGTAGGATCATTCCAGT